ATCTCCCAAACCAAGTTGTAGGTAAACCGAATATGGAATCAAATTCACACTAGCTCCTAAGTCAAGGAGGGCCCTCTCGATTTTGTTGTCACCAATGACACAAGAGATTGTGGGGGCACCCGGATCCTTATACTTCGGAGGAGTGCTGTGCTGAATGATCGCACTAACATTTTCGGTTAACCTCACTTTCTTTGGTAAATGACTTCTGGAAGTGCGCTTTTGAGTGCACAAATCCTTAAGGAATTTTGCATAGGGAGGAATTTGCTTGATAGCATCCAAGAGAGGAAGATTGATCTTTACTTGCCTAAAGACCTCCCACATGTCTTGAATTTTGCAATTCTTATTCCCAAAATGTGTCGACTCTTGAAGACGTTGAGGGAACGGAGCTTTTGGCTCATAAGTAGTTTCCACATTTGGGGTGACATGCGTGGGACTTCCGTGAATGGTATTTGGACAAGAAGAACTTGGATTTGGACTTGAAGAGCTTGAATTTGGATTTTTCAACGGAGGGTTTTTCTCACTTGCGTCTCCATCAACCTTGTTATCAACCACTCTACCACTCCGAAGGGTGGTGATAGCTTGAACTTGTTCATGAGTCGGCCCACTCGGAGGAGGGGTTTCATCAATCACATGCATTCCTCTAGGATTTTCAAATGGTTGAGCGGGAAGCTTACCCTTGTCTTTTTGAAGAAGTTGGTTCACTTGGTTAGCTATTTGTCCCATTTGATTTTCGAGCCTAGCTATGGATTGAGTATGGGAGTGAACCATTTGGAGAGTAGGTTGCAAGGATGTCAAGAGATGCTTGTTGGAATCTATGATTTGCTTGTTTAATGATTCCATCATTTGCACATTTAATGATTCCATCATTTGCTTGTTTGCAGCCACTATCTCATCAATTGGATTCACAGGAGGTTGAGTGGAGACATTTGGATTGTATGGAGGTTGGTAGCTTGAAGAGGCTTAGAAAGGCCTACCTTGATATTGAGAAGAGGGCTGATTTTGAGGCCCTTGATTTTGAAGTTGGGAATTTTGTGGGGCTTGTTGCCTCCACGAAAAATTCGGATGGTCTCGCCAACCCGGATTGTAGGTGTTGGAATATGGATTGTTCCCGGGCCGTGAGAACATGGCATTAGCTTGCTCTTGGTTGGGATTGGGAAATTGCTCCGGTGTGGGGCAATCTTCCGAGAGATGAAATGGACTATTACATGAGGCACAAACCGAACTTGCCGAATTTTGAGACAATGAAGGAGGAAGATGTGGTGCCATCAATTGGTAGAATTTATGAGCTATGGCATCCACTTGAGATGATTCCTCCCTTATTGATTTTTGTTGACAAGGATTGGTGTTCTTTGGAGTGGTTGAGGTCGGAGCCCTACGAGAATTGTGTTGAAGTGAATTTTCACTCAAATTCTCAAGTAAGGTCCAAGCCTCATCCGCATTCTTGGACATGAACATCCCACCACAAGAAGAGTCAACCATAAATCTATGGGTGTCGGTCAAACCGGCATAGAAAGCTTGCACTAATTGCCATTTTGGGATCAAATGATGAGGACATTTACGAAGAAGATCTTGTAGCCTTTCCCAAGTCTCGTGGAGTTGTTCTCCATCAACTTGAGAAAAGCTTAGAATGGAACGCCTCATTTGGTTGGTTTTACTCACCGGATAGTACTTCTTAAGAAATTCTTGTTGCAATTGAGCCCAAGAAGTAATAGAGTTGGGAGCGAGGGAGTTCAACCAATATTTTGCCCTATCCTTTAGGGAGAATGGGAAAAGATGGAGATGAAGTGCATTGTCCGGAAAACCTCTCAACCGGATGGTCGAACAGATTTCAAGGAACTCATCAAGGTGCTTATATGGATCTTCATTATTAAAGCCATGAAATGATGGAAGCATTTGAATGGTACTAGACTTGATCTCATATTGAGCTGCATCGATGTTTGGCATCACTATACAAGAAGGAGAAGCATAGGTGGTAGGAATGAAATGATCTCTAAGAGTCATTGGTTCTACATTAGGAATTTCAGCCCTTTCATTCCCCGGATTTCCTATGTTATCCCCCATTATATTGAATTCAGTTTCAAGGTCCCTTGTAAGAGTGGGTTCCCTAAGGTTCCGTCTAAGAGTTCTTTCAAGAGAGTTAATATCAATGGGAGAATCGATTGTGGGTAAGGAAAGTGACCTACGACCGAACATCAACAACAAAGCATATACTCAACAAAGCAATTCATCAACCACAACTCCACATACGATGTTCCCTTTCTCCTCAATTATCAAGACAGAAAATGTAAATGGCCACGACAAGGACCGATGCTTGAACACAAAATATAAACAAGTTAAGAGCCTTGACAAGGGCTTCACAACTAAATTAAACACATACACAATATTCACAATGCGAAACTAGAAGTCACGAGACTTACCTGGGGGCCTCTAGACTTACAATTTGCTAGCGTTCCCACGGCGAGTTTCGAGTCCCTAGAATCTCACAAACACGAAGATGATCAAAAATACACAAGGAGTATTCACAAGACACAATATTCACAATCAAACTAAAATTAACCCTAGAACTTTGGTCGCTAAACCGTTTGCAGTCCCCGGCAACGGCGCCAAAAATTGATCGGTTGATCAACTATACATCAACCTTCGCAATAGCACGAATCATTGTAAAATAGGGCTATTGGTCGGGTAAGTCGAACCACTGGGACTGCGCTAGTCTATGGCAACCTAAGAGTCTAGAATTGTTCTTAGAATGATAAGGGGTAATAAGGGTTTGTTTGATTGGTTTGTCACTAAGCTAGTAATTGAAGTGCATAAAATAATAAATTGAAGGGGATTAAAAGAGAAGATTTAGAGAAGGAAGTCTAGGGAAGTGAGTCCACTCCAAACCTCTACACAAGCTAATTATATGATTAATTTGGGGAATTAATGTAGAAATGACCTTGATATATAATAATACATGACTACTATAATATCTTCAAGAAATTCAATTAATTAAAGAGTAAGAACAACCTATCAAAGCTTCACATGGTTGAGTTACCTAAACTAAGATGCAACCCTAGACATGCTCACTAAGTTAGAGATTGTCAAACAATTAATCAATTGGTGGAAGCACATGGTATCAAGTCACAAGATTAACTCATCAAAAGAAATTCTTAAGCTATGGATTAACAAGCTACTCAAAACCATGCCATTAAAACCGTTCCATAATCTTAGTTCCATTGTCACTATGAAACTATAAGCCATACAACTATGAGATTAAATAATCTAAGACAAGAGTATGTAAATCAACATAGTCATTCAAACATTCAAAATCTTCATTACAATTTGTAACATGCTCTAGACCATGGAACTAGCCAAATATACATTTCATTCCCCAAAATAAATCAAAAACTAGACATGCTTACAAGGTAGAGCTTCATCACCTCCCTAGATGGAGGTTTAGTTACCCATTGATGCACTAGAGGAAGGAGGAATTAAAGCCTTGACCTCCATTTTCGAGCTCCCCTCTTCTAGCTCTAAGAACACACCTTTCTTGCTCTCTTCTCTCTCCTCTAATCTTGTAAAAATATGGGATAATGATATGTGTGGCCTTCCTTGCCTTATCTCCTTCAACAAAGCTCTCTCTCTCCTCCAAAAAACATCCCCAACCACCTCATAAAGAAGTAAGTAGAAAATGAGGAAACCAATGCACAAGTGGCTGCCAAAATGAGAATTCCCGAAGGCAATTCTGCCCCAAATTCGAGCACTCTAAGCAAGGCCTCGAGCGCTCGAATTTAGTGTAAAAATGCCCATGCTTCACTTGCTCCGCCCAGACCTACTTTGGTTAAACAGCCATAACTTTATGCTCCGAACTCCGAATGACGAACCGTTTAAAGATTTGGAGAGCCGATTCAGAGCTTTAAAAACTTCATGTTTTGATGAAGACCCAAATCTCAAGTCTGGTTGGTCGAAAATGGGGAGAAAGGCAGTACTTCAGTGCTGCCAGGCAGTTCTGCGCACCTCTGGTAACAAGGCCATAACTCTCTGCTCCGAGCTCCGAATGATGAACCGTTTGAAGATTTAGAAAGCTAATTCAGAGCTCTAAATCTTTCATGTTATGATGGAAGTCCAGTTCTCGAGCTTTCTGGGTCAAAATGGCGAGCAAAGTCCTAACTCCACTGCTGATCTCGTGAAGCAATCTGCCCTAATTTCGAGCACTCGAAATTAGGCCTCGAGCACTCGAAAATTGGCCAGAATGCCCTATGCTTGGTTTGCTCATCCCGAACCTACTTTGGTAAAACGGCCATAACTTTGTGCTCTAAACTCCAAATGATGAACCGTTTGAAGATTTGGAAAGCTAATTCAGAGCTCTAAAAACTTCATGTTTTGGTGGAGATCCAATTCTCAAGGATGATTGGTCGAAAATGAAGATCAAGGCAGAATTTCATTGCTGCCAGGCAGTTCTGCGCACCTCTGGTAACAAGGCCATAACTCTCTGGTCCGAGCTTCGAATGACAAACTGCTTGAAGATTTGGAAAGCTGATTCAGAGCTCTAAATATGCCATTTTATAATGGAAGTCCAGTTCTCGAGTTTGCAAGGTCAAAATGGTGAGCAAAGTCCTAACTCCACTGCTGCCAGAAATTCAGAATTGTGCCTTTTGATGGCCAAAACTCCACAAAGCCTTGATTTTGCTCCTTTTTTGGCAAATGGACCTGAAAATATATACATACACACAAATGAAGATAATCTACTTAAATAATCAAACGATGGACTTAACTAATGCAATTTAGGGCGCTTGAATATACAATATTCGGCGCTTATCATAGCATGTATTCCAATGCCACAATAAAATAAAATATAGAAAATTGAAAAAAGGAACCGATCTCTACACAATGATTCAAATGGTTGCACTAATTCCATCTTCAATTGTTATGCCTCTTCAATTCCTTCCCTGTACACTTACGTCTCCGGCCATAGAGAAAACATTATTACAGTGACCGTATTTTCCAAAATATGTTAAACAATGGTGTTTCTCAAAGGATACGTTAAAGGACCGGTAGGTTATAAGATGATTCTGCACCTACAACACTTTGTATGTAACTATATACATCCTTTCACACCAGCATATCACACTGGTGTATTAATGCCTCTGCATGTAGGTGACCCTACACTGTTGACATTTACGTTATTGGTCTAACGTGATATACATAGACAACCAAAGGCATATTGATGTTGCAGTCAAGTTTCATTTATACTTGAAATACTAGTTTCCAACAAGGCCATTCCATTCCTAAGGTAAATTTTTTTAAAAATAAAGTTCCCAAAAATTCCACATGTTCCAAGTTTAAAACCACCACCACCACAACCACTGCCGCCATTCACCACCACCGCCTCCATTGCCTTCCACCACCGTCACTGTCATCACCACCATTGTTGCAGTCTTCAACCACTGCCACCGCTACCGCCACCACCTCTATTGCCTTCTATCGTCGCCACCTCCACTGCCACCACCACCACCGCCACCGTCACATCCATTGCCCTCCACCACCATCATTGCCACCACATACCATCACCATTACCACCACCCATTGTCACCGCCATTACCACCACCGTATTACACCATCGCCACCTTCAACTACCACCACCTACACCACTGCCGCCTTCCACCACCACCACACCACTGCCGCCGCCGCTGCCTTCCACCATCATCACTACACCACTGACGCATTCCACCACTACCACTGCCACCACCTTCCACCAACACAACTATTGCCTTCCGCCGCCACCATTGCCTTCTGCCACCACTACCGTTACCACCTCCCAACACCACCATCTACACCATTACTGTTTTCTACCTCTACCACCAACGTCACCGCCATCTACCACCGCCGTCATTTCTTTTAAAAATATTATAAAGGAATGTTATTTTGATAATTTAATTTGCAACCCGTTCCATTCTAAATTTTAAATTGGATCAACAAAATACTAGAATGCATATATGAGAATGGAATGATAATTAATTAATGCATTTTCATTTAATTCCTACTTGCATTTCACTATATTCATGTATACCAAATGCAACATATATGAATAAAAATCTCCTACTATACAAAAAGGTTAGAGAAATAGGACAAATGATCATTTTTCTAGAACTTCTTTTTCTCTTTTAATTTCATATTCTTTTTATTTTTTAATATCCGTAAACACACACTACTTGTCAAAATCATTGGGATTGATTTTAGGATAAGATTTGCCTACGGGTGAATATGTTATCCATATTCATAGATGTCAAAATAGTGTAATTATAAAATCTGAAAAGTGATAAATACGGGTGAAAAGAAGACGGGAGCCCCGGGAGTTGTGCGACTTTGAAACAACAAATCGTTATTATTTCCGCAATTATGCGATTCGTCTCTCTCTCTTCCTCCTCTTTCGCTCGTCTAACTGAATTGTAATTCATTTTTTCTTTTTCGAAGTTTGAGTATTCAATGACCACTCTCAGAAGTGGATTGCTTCTTCATTCTAATAATTTTCTTCCCGAGAGTTCATCCTCCGACCGTTTAACCCACAAACTCAACCTTTCCCAGGCAAAATTTCAATTTCGACCCTCAACGGCTCGAAATCTTGGTTTCAAACAAGCACTAGTGTCAAACCAGAGAAACCCAAAATCCCATTTAGTTCCAGTTGCTCAGGATGCGAGAGATTGTAGTGTTCAAAGTCTGGAAAGCGTTGATGAGTGTCTGTCTCTTTTAAACCTACTCAACAAAAATAGTAACTGTTCTTATGACATCAAGCAAATTCATGGTCAATTCGTCAAAATGGGTTCTATCAAGTCAAATAGTTTGATTGGAAATAAGCTTGCTATTTCGTATTTGAAAGGAAGGGGGTCATTAAATGATGCACGACGGTTGTTCGATGAAATTCCTGATAGAACAGTACCTGCCTATGCTGCCCTTATAGGATCATATTCTCGGTCCGAGCGATGGGAGGAGCTGTTCTCAGTGCTTGGCTTGATGGTTCACGATGGATTACTACCTGATAAGTATCTTGTGCCCACCATTCTCAAAGCGTGCTCTGCGGTTCAATTACTGAGTAGTGGTAAAATGGTACATGGGTATGTCATAAGGAAGCAGCTCTTGACAGATGTTTTTGTTGGGAATGCCCTTATTGATTTGTATGCAAATTGTGATGATTTGAGATCTTCAAAATATGTTTTTGATACAATGCGGGAGAGAGATGTAGTTTCGTGGACTGCTCTCGTTTCAGCTTACATGGATGGAGGCCTTTTGGATGACGCAACAAATGTTTTTCAGTCAATGCAGTCAAATGGAGTAAAGCCCGATTTAATCTCATGGAATGCACTTGTGGCAGGTTTTGCTCGGAATGAAGAGACTGATTTGGCTCTCCTATCTTTGGAAGAGATGCAAGAGAAAGGATTGAAGCCGAGGGTCTCTTCTTGGAATGGGATTATTTCAGGTTGTGTTCAAAATGGATATTTTGAAGATGCTTTGGATGTGTTTGGTATGATGTTAAGCTTTCCTGAGGATCCAAATGTTGTGACGGTAGTCAATATCCTACCGGTTTGTGCAGGCTTGAAAGATCTTAATTTGGGCAAGGTAGTTCATGGATATGCTCTTAAAAGTAATTTTTGTAAAAATGTTCATGTGGAGGGGTCATTAATTAATATGTACTCCAAATGTGGAAGGAATGATTATGCAGAGAAAATATTTGCTACAATACAGAACAAGAATGTTGCTGTGTGGAACGAGATGATTGCAGGTTATGTGAATGAGGGTAAAATGGAGTCGGCACTAAGGCTTCTTAGACTGATGCAAAATTATGATTTAAAACCTGATAGGATTACCTTTAACACAATGCTTTCTGGGCATGCAAGAAATGGAGAAAAGAATGAGGCATGTAAGTTGTTGTCTGAGATGAGCGTGGTGGGTTTGAAGCCAAACATCTTTTCCTTTAATGTCCTCATATCCGGTTTTCAACAATCTGGGCTCAGTCAGGAAGCTTTAAAGTTGTTCCGCGTCATGCAATCACCTTTAAGTAAGTGCTCTAATATTGAAGTGCCAGATGAGTCTATACAACCAAGTCCTGTCACAACTACAAGTGCAATTGCAGCTTGTGCTGATCTAAGTTTATTGCGTCAAGGAAAGGAAATCCATGGACGTGTTCTGAGGAATGGTTTTGAACCCAACATCTTTGTGTCAAGTGCATTGATTGAAATGTATGCAAAATGCCATGATATTGTTTCAGCAACTAAATTATTCTTGAAAACTGAGGATAGAAATACAGTTACCTGGAATTCTTTAATTGCAGGGAACCTTAATAATCAACAGCCTGAAGAGGCTCTTAAAATTTTCTGTGCAATGCTTGATGAAGGCCTCAAACCAAGCTTGGTAACCTTTATGATACTTCTTCCAGCCTGTGTTTATATGGGAACTCTGAATTTTGGGAGAGAATTGCATGGCTATATTGTGAAGAGTCATCTCGATGAACCCACTAGTATCCTTTCAAGTGCCTTAACAGACATGTATGCTAAATGTGGTTGCATGGAAGATAACAAACTGGTTTCATCTCCATAAGTAAAAAAAGACATGGTTCTATGGATGTGGTGATCTCTGCTTCTAGAGCTTATATATGGCTAAGAATTATATTTCTTTATTTGATCATTATGGACATGTTTGGGATTGCACCAGACAATATAACCATTGTAACTTTCTTTGGCTCATCTCTGCGATGGTCTAATAGAGAATGGAAATATTTCAATTTGATGGACAACTCCTACAGGATTTGTCCTGTTCGCAACATTACATATGCATGGTTGGTGTTATGGATTTGCTGGTTTAATGGTGAAGGCTATCCATTTGATTGAACAATTGCCTTGTCTGCCAGAATTTTGCATGTGGTCTCCTCCTCTACAAGTTTCCAAATTCGGAAATAGGAGAAATAGATTTAGAGCTCTTTTTTGAGCTTGAACCAAATAATGCTGATAATCATTTGCTCCTACGACATTTATGTCACACCAGAGATGTAGGATTCTTGCAAGAATTTGAGGGATCTTTAATTGATGACATTATGAACTGCAGCTGTATTAATGTCAGTACAAATATATTGCACTCAACGGGTACTAGATTTTCATATGGAGTAATGGAAATCTTGGAGATGCTCCATAACTTGGCCGGCAAAATGAAGCTGCCAGGTATTCTCTTTTTAATCCTGTATTTGTGAACTTAAGGAGTGAAGCTGTTATTGTGCTTGCGAACTGAGAGGTTAGCTCTATTTTTTGGTGTCATTTCTTCCAATGTTCAACATGCTATCTTTTTCTTGAAGACTATAAGAATGTTAATTGAATATCAAGCAACTTTTAAACTTAAACCCAAAATTATTGAAAAGGGAATCTCTACAAGGGATGTAGGCTTCTATCAACATTGAAGAATGAAACATTTAGTTACCAGGACAGGTGGTGAGTTATGGGTTCTCATTAAACCATACTGTGACTTATGCAACCTTGTTTTAGGTGATTTTTCATCTTTGTTGAGAAGGACCGCATTGATGTTTGCACTATAGATGGATGCAAGGCCTTATCTGTTACGAGGATAGATAGAAACTGAACTCATAAGATAGTCTTGTCATGTCTTCCTTCCACATTTGATGAACCCATAGTTTATAATTCTAAAACCATCCCATAGTTTATATAATTCTAGAACTTATGCCTGCAGCAGCTTGTTGTCCACAATTTTGTAGTCCTAGTACTAGCCCTGGTTAGATAACATGTTCCCTTGTAGTGCATTCCACATTACCTTTGCAGTTTACATCAAATATATAAATCAAATAAAGCACTACGGTAGCCACCAATGGATGACCTCCGCATAAGCTATTCTCTTTCAAATTGTAGAAGCATAATCGTTAGCAATTCCATAGGTATCAAAAGCATGTTCATATAAAATGTGATCGAGGCTAAGTGCGGTGGGATGACATTAAAACTTCTGTTACCTTATTCTATAATTGTGTCCATCAAGTTTTCTTCCTATCCAAACATATTCTCTGTTCTCGGAAAAAATCACAGACAGGAGAAGACATGTATGGTCTTTTTTCCCCTTTGCAAAAGGTGACTGCCTCAGACTCAAACTCGGAGAGAGAGAGAGAGAGAGAGAGAGAGAGAGAGAGAGAGAGAGAGAGAGAGAGGGAGCGAGTTGAATTCTAGTAATGGTTTTCTTCTTCCTCTCTTTAGAATGAATCACCATAGGGGGATTAGATGCGCATGTTCTTTTCTACATTGTATTGTACAATGGTTTCAATATTCAGTAAAATGATATTGAGAATGTTTTCCGTCTCTGCTCGAGCTTCTTTCTCATTGACGGGTCATTTAGGGGTCTTTAGATTCAAAATAAAAAGGATGGACTTATTGAGACCCCAACTATGACATCCCTTCTTTTCCACTTCACACGGAAATCCACCACTCTTACAGAAAGAAAAACACTACTGAATTACTCTATGTTATGATTTTCTACATCCCAGGTCTTTCCCGTTTTTTCATTTGACTTATGTTCTTCAAGTTGGGAGAAGGGATCCAGTATATTCTTCTTTTGTTCATCTAATCTGAGATCTTCAAAGCTAACTGTTGAGACCTTTGCCTGTCCGGTGACATACTTTGAATGGTTCATGAATGTTTGTTGCATGGTTAGTCCCTTTGTTTGTCTCTACTATGTCATCATGATTTTTACAATAATCTTCCTTTGTACCATGTCAATTTTTTCAAAGTAATATCAATCGTTTTAAAATTTGCTTGTCACTCAAAATAGGGCGATAGAGTGATTGTCTGAGTGTCCTTTTTTTGTTTGGTTGCGTAGAAGTGGAAGAGGGTCGAAGGATGTGACACCTTCCCTTTGAGGTAAGGGAAGGAGAGGTTTTGTATATTTCTTATAACACTATACCCTATAATTTGCCAAAAATGATGAAGCGTTATTATGTCATTTTACATTATATGTATAATAGTAATACTTCTCTTCCCTCCTATCTTTCAGTCAGTTTTGAAGGGATGGAAAATGATGAGTCAGGAATAATGCCTTGTCGATCCTTTCTTTTCCTCCACAACTTCCCTTCCTCTCCTTTTCTTCCCTCTGCAATGTATTTGAACTTCAATAAAAGATTGGGTTCTGGAGTTAGCTCGAAGTCTAAGGTTAATGTTAAGAGTAGAGGTATGAGTTTGTTGGAATCATTATTCACCTAGAAAGGCTAGAATCAGTTGTTTGTCTTGAATTTCTAATAACATTTCAAATAATTCCTTGTAAATTGTTATTAGAAATCCAATCAAGTAATTCTTTAGAACCAATTTTGCATATTGTTAAAACTTGGATATAAATTTAAACTCCTACTTCTTAAACAATTGAATTCCAAACCATTCATTTGAAATCCGTCGATCTCGATTTGGAAGAATTGCATTCAATCTCGATTTGGAAGAATTGCAAATTTAGAGATCCAATCAAGTAATCCTCACCTTTGTGAATGGTACTATTCTCTCGATTTGGAAGAATTGCATTCAATCTCAATTTAGAGATCCAATCAAGTAATCCTCACCTTTGTGAATGGTACTATTCTCCATGCGGATTTCAATGTCACAACATAGTCCTAACTAATTACAACATGATACATTTGCTTACGTGCAAGTGCTGTCACAACATGGTCCCAACCAATCACTGCATGATACATTTGTTTGCGTGTCAAGTTGTAATTGACTAAAAACCATATAGTCCCAAACCAAGTAAAAATTTCAAAGTTCCAAGTGATGGTGGACTTGAAGGGAAAGATTGGAGCTAGGATCTTGGCCTCAATCTTAAACATTTGCAGGCACACCCTTCTAGGGTTTAAACTCACCTCCATGGTACCATTGAAATACGGACTCTAACTATTACAAAGCTTCAACCATCTCAGGGAGCTTTGGAACTATCAGAACATGAAAGGATGAAACTCCGTGACATACATCTTTTCAAAACAGAAGTTGATATTCATGCAGTTTACAGAATGAGAAAATGTCTAACAACATTATCAATGTAATTATTGTCATCATGCACAACATTTTGATGGTTGAAATCACATTCACAGGTACAAATTCATGTTTAAAGTTTTCATGTAGTATTTAAATACATTAGTGAAAAGGTGACCTTCCGCATACAGGAGCTTTGTATCCATTCTGTAACTTCCTCCAAGAAAGAGCCATCTCCGATGACGCAGAGAAGCTATGCTCCAGCTCCAGCGGGACAACCCTGATAATTTTCAGAGCTAGGTCCTGCTTTTGTGATAGGAACACGCAAAATGATGACGAACATCATCACAACTCATCCAAAATTTACAAATTTTGATTGTCTGACCCAAAAAAGGACAAGTAAAAAAGAAAACAGCGAGTTCTAACACTCAACAATATATAACCCTTGGATGACCAGGAAGTATCATTAGCTTCTTATTATCAAGGAACCCGGCAACCCGGTTTTTTTTTCATCCATCCACAATTAGCATCAAGTGAGCTTGAGAAAAGAAGAAAATTCATGCAATCTAAAGACATCATCTAGAAATTTTCGGAAACATCCATCACCTGATTAGAACATTCATAACGAAGTCTACAACATATAGTTTCAGATCTGTAACACAGCAAACTAACATAAACGGCGTAGACATAATGCTACCGGAAGAGTAAGACTACAAGTCAGCTTCCTGCCTATGCCTACCGCAAGAGTAAGACTACAAGTCAGCTCCCTGCCTGCCCTGGGTACCTGGAGAAAACAAGGAATTGAGAAAATCATACAAACTTGATTGTGATGCAAAAACATAATCCAATTCTCGTGATGATTAATAAGACACACAACTTGCCATATATTAATAAAATGAATGAAAAAAGGTTTTTAAAGGAATTTGATCACTAAAGCTTTCTGCGTTGGTTTAATACCAAGTAGAGAATTTATGAGTTTGAACAGAAGCTGCAGGTAATGACTGTAAGCAACCGAATGTTATAAATTCCACTCCACCAGACTGCCTTACAATATTCTTATTGGAATGGGACGTGCAGGGACCAAAGCATTTTGGTGTACCATTTCAAATTTATCATTGTAACATAATACATGTCAAATATTACATAATCACATATACACAAACACAAAGTAAAAGATTGAGAATATTGTACACAATCCATCAGAAGACTGTCATTGTCTTCATGGTTTGTACCTTCATGGAATGGAGATATATTGGGAGCTACTCAGTTCTATACTTCTAGTTTTTATATTATATTAATTCAAAAAAAAAAAAAAAAAAGGTTTTATATTATAACACTGCCAATTTTAGGGCAAATCAATCTCTCAAAATCCTCTATAATCTAACTGTCATGCATTTAGAGAGAGAGGGTAAAAGGAAACACTTGAAGAAAATAAATAAATAAACTTTTTTCAATGAAGTACAACACAATAAAAGTTAAATAAGTCACTTTTTAATTATCACAGACACTAATCAAAGAGATTAGAACTGCAAATCATTTGTTGGAGTTATATTGTTTGCTAAGAAGCACGGACACTCCACTAGTGGTGTCGTGGCAGTGTCGAACACATCCGACCTGGAGACACGTGGAAGACGGTCGTATGCGTCCGATACGGCTAGGAGTGTATGTTTTTTCTCCTGGTTGGAGACTGCATGGACATGGTTGTGACATAGCTTAGATACAACATGGACACGTTTGGAACACTTTAAAAGACACAACAGGATAGTTTTGCAATTAATCTTTTTTTTTTAAAAAAAAAAAGGGGTTCCAATGCAATTTTAACACACATTATGGATTAATAAAAAATAATATAAAGTTATAGAAAATAAAAACGACACTAATCGAGCTCTAAGCTCCAAATTAGAGATTACATTCATAATGAAGTGGATAAAATGAGCAGAAATCAACTTTTTGTATATAATAATATATTATATTATTATTTTATTGACGTATCTTGCCGTGTCCGTCTCTTGCTTTTTTGAAATTTGACGTAACATTGTATCGGTGTCATGTCATAGCCATGTCCAGTATCCATATCTGTGCTTCATAGCTAGGGCTGCCATCAAGGAAATTCATGGAGATGGGAGTGCAACGGTGGTAATCGAAGTTTTGAAGAGGCATTAGAAAAAGGCGAAGATAAAGTAAGAAATCATTCTTACAAACCTAATCATTGAAAAATGGATATCTAATTTGTCTTTGAAGAGAACCCTAATTAAAATAATTTAATGCACCCACAAAATGAGCTATTCTTCACCAAATTGGACAAAACACTCAGAAGAACCCAAAATGCTCTGAAATACAAGATGAGACACAGAGAAAAAATTGTTTCAGGCCTCGGCCAAACAAAACAGAACTTATAACCATGAATTCCACAGAAATTCATCAATTTATTGATTCTTCCATGATATTAAGATAGATGAGACATGTCCATAATTATGGGTCACTTCAAGAAACACTTTGCTGAGGGTCCGAGACCAGGTCTGGAAAAGGGTTACCCACAGCAATCATATGTTTACTAACTAAATCCCATAATGTGCAATAGGAAAACTAAAATTTTAAGTTTTAATATCGGTATAAGCATACATTAGAAGTTCCATATCAGATTACATGTTCATATTACTGATGCAATAAATAAAATTATCACCTAGGAACATAACAACACTTATGGCATAACTTTCAGATTTATCTTCTGTTGCAGAAAAGCCAATAAACAAAGAGAAAATAAAAATATTTTTTAAAAAAGAAAAAGAAAAAGTCTTCAGTGGAAAACTTCTGCATGATAAATGCAAGTATCATGTTATCTTTTTACTTACAGTGGCTCGATGCTATTCCATTCTTCCTGTGTCCAGCATGATATAAAAGTTGTAAATATAACAATAAATAAATATATATATATATATATATTCCTAGCCTGCTAAGCAGGATTTGTGCAGCCAACCCCATTAAATTAGTCTTGCAGCAAACTTTTTCCCGGGGGGTTGGGGACAAGAATAAACCAAGCTTTGGAAATCAAAAACAGATTTTACCCAGGTGTTTTAGTAACTTCAAGCAAAATAGCAATTGCTTTTTCATAAAATGATGCAATGGCATAGAAAGAAGAATAAAAATAAAAAAAATAAAAAAAAGTAATAAGGGACAAGTATACCTGTACAGCTTCTAAGTTGATAACGTAGACACAATCAGTTGTTCATAAATGACATGTTTCAAAAGCGGAGCCCCTTTGACATTGGATATCATGCCCATCAAACAGTTTTCTGTAGGTCAAAGAAAGATCTAGCAGATTGTTCACGCCTTCAGTTTCTTTGTACACTTTACAGCTTCTATCTTCAGTGCAATCAACATCATCAAAGCCACTTTCAACAGGCTCTTTCATATGGATGATCTTACCAAACAACTGGATTGAACTACTACCAACCTTTTTTGTGGAATTGCAGCCTCGTCTTCCAGCTAGCTCTACATCAGAGAAATGCACGCTGCTCTGACTATCAGGCGAAAAGCTATCAGATTGTGAACTGCCAATGTTGAGATCAGTGGACACAGTTTTCAACTTTGGCGTCATGTCATTGCCAAAATAATTATCAATGCATGTCTGACGGGCACCTTCACTTATGAAGTTGGATAAAGCAGACACACAAAATGGATCTTGCCTGGCTCCCTGCATGCCAGCAGGAAAAGAATTGTAATTCATCAGCGATGAGTTCAAGTTACCCATCATTGAATTACTTAATCCTCTCATAGGAAAGAAGAGTTCTCCCTCTCCATCCGTCAACAACCCAGGATTTTGAGGAACTCTCAATCTTTTTGCGGCAGGGAATGGGGAATGAAGCGGTGGTGTGGGCACAACGTATTCAACTAGCCAAGGGTTCACTTTCTTTCCATTCTGCAGAACTTCAGGTTCATCCCACGTAACCTGCGGCAGAGAATTTTGAGAACTTTAGTTCAATTTAAAAGGAGGCAAGGTTGAAAGTTTATAATACAAGCAGCAACGGATTTTTATTCCAATATTTCTGAGTACTTGAATTAAACCAAAGGTGCTCTTCACAACTTAGTAAAGAGAGAAGCTCCTAATCTTGCATTCTTAATGGAAAGGAAATTATGATTGGTTGAATACAAAAAAGATTAATAGGAATCATAGCCCACCATATTTCCGCAACTAGAAAGAAAATGTAATGCTCCATATTTCCTGTTAATATGACTATTCATTTTTTTTTTTTTTTGATAAGTGTTAATATGACTATTCATATTGCCTCAAGTCGGCAAAAGCTTATTATGGCATCTGTTTAAGATCATATCCCACATCCAAAGGAAATTAATGAATTGGCATTATTAGATAGTCATGGGATACAAAGCATAATATGTCTGGGTGTATGCGTGTGTGAGGAGAGGCGGAGAGAGGCTAAGATAAACTAGCATATATATGCATGCGTGTTCTGTGCGCGAGAGAGAGAGAGAGAGAGTCAATCATCAATTTTCCTCCATGTCATTTACAGTAACTAAGAATAAAACAAACATTTTTTACAGCAGAGGGGATGCCAAGGTGTAAAATCCAATTGATTGAAAAAAAAATAAATAAATAAATAAAATAAAATAAAATAAAATAAAATGAGAGAGTAAGACATTTGTTTCTTTACAACATCAGCAAAAGATAATATGATAATGTGCCATAAACACCAAACAGCATGAGATAACAAGGCGAAACAAACCAATACGTCATGCATGGAATAAGTACACACGCATCCAAGCGCGTGCCAAGTGATTGAAAGTCGCTGTTTCTGATACTCCACTCCATCTCAAAACACGGCACTCATGCCAGTGCCCGAAACTAGTAAGCTCAGGATTCAAACCTTTGTTTGATAGTGTTATCAAAAGGCACCAAAGATATAACTCAAGAAATCTTTGTCCCATAGCTGTCACGTAAAAAGGTGGAAAATAGGTCTTTCTTCTTTTTGTGATAAAGCAACCAAAGCATACACAAAAAGTGAATGCCACAAAATTAGATACAGAAAACTTGGAATCAAAGGCGTAGCCCCACAACCACCTTTCAAAATGATAACTCACCTCCATGCCACAAATTTTTTTTTTAATCTATGGATCAATCACTTGCACCCTGAAGTGAAATTAGTGGGAGCAAGCTGCAACACATTTCTATAAGTCAGAATCTTGCCTAAACCAATAATTATATGAAGTAGCTGCAACTTCAAAAGCATTAGGTTCAGGCAGGGTCATAGAAAGACTCAGCTTCAAGTGACCCAATTAAAACCTAGTTATAAACAGATTTAGCCAAATTTTGGTCAGGAATCATTGGAAAATATTACCGAAAATACTTGGATATCATCTTTGATAAATTATTTTAAATATAATAAGATTAATAGGTTATCGACACAACACTAGCAGTCTAGGTTTGTATTCTTAAACAAGAGTAATTGACGAGCAGTTGGCTAACCAATCATGTCTGCTCCACCATAGGCCACATCCATCCATATTTATTATGGTTGCAAAAAAGGAAAATGGAATCAAGAAACTTGGTCCAAAAAGATTATGGGAATCAAGAAGTTATATGTATTGAATTGGAAGCTTATTATTCAAATTAGTAAACTTTGAAAAAACTAATGTCAAACACAAGAAAATAGACTAAAGTGCAATATCCAATGTATGATACCTACATGCATAAATGGCATTTTCCGTAGAAATAGTATTCTTGCTTATTTCGATACAGAAGATGCGAGTTCAGGAATAACTAAATATGGGACTATATTAGTTTTTAAATAAATTTTGGAAAAATCATTGAAAATAGGAAATCTTCAAGAAAATAAAATGGAAAAAAAACTCAAAAGTTTCATTAATATTTCCTGTTGGAGCTTGATATGCATTCAACATCATCATCACCCTTGCCTTAATCATATTAATTGGGTGAGACACGTGAAATTTCTTTTTCCATTCTATTCTATCACAAGTCTGGATCCTATAATTTTAACTCTTTGAAGTCATTAGAATTTTAACTCTTTGAAGTAATTTCTAATGATTCATCCCATGTTAATTTCGGTAAACTCGCGCTCTGTTCCATGCCTATTATGTAAATTAGTCTCTCTTCTTACCGGTACATCTATAGGTCTTCTTTGCAAATGTCCAAACAACCGAAGTTTACTTTCTCTTATCTTATCACTAATAGGCACCACATCTAATTTATCCCTCGCGTTTTGGTTTGTAACCCTACCTCCTATCCACCTTTAAATCATCATGTCTAATACATGAGTTCCCTGTTCTTGTTTCTTTTTCTTTCTTTCTTTTAAATAAGTAAATTTCATTGAAAAGCGCTCAAAAAGCAAGTGCATCCCAGTATACACAAAACAAGAGGGTACCATACTCTCAGCATATCCTCAAAATCCATCATATCTCGTACAGATTTACAACTTTGCCCAAGAACCCAAAAGGATAAAGCACTTGGAATAGAAATTTTCAGCATGCAAATAGAAGTCTCCTTTCCATCAAAGGCACCACACCTAATTTCTCCCTCGCATTTTGGTTTGTAACCCTACCTCCTATCCACCTTAACATCTTCATTTCTAATACATGAGTTCCTTGTTCTTCTTTCTTTTTTCTTTTTCTTTTTTTGTTTTTTTAACTAAATAAATTTCATTGAAAAGCGCACAAAATGCGAGTGCATCCCAGTATACAACTTCACAAAACAATAGAGTACTATGCTCCCAGCATATCCACAAAATCTACCTTATCTCCTACAAATTTACAACTTTGCCCATGAACCGAAAAGGATAAAGCACTTAGAATAGAAAATTTCAGCATCCAAATAAGAGTCTCGTTTCCATCGAAGGCTCTCCTATTTCTCTCGCGCCACAAGCCCCACCATAGACAAAGGGGTGCCACTCTCCACGCATCCCAGGCTTGACTCCCCACTATTCAGCCTCTCCAAGCCTCAAGCAAGCTCAACGTGGAAGCCGGCATAATCAAATGTACACCAAATAGCTAACGTCATGGACCAACCTTCCCTCACTATGGGCAATATAAAAGGAGATGATCTACCATATCCTCATCCCTCTTACACAAAGAACAACAATTTACAATCAATTGTCATCTCCTTCTAAGATTGTCTATTGTCAGAATCCTCCCCACCATAGCCGTCCATGCAAAAAAATGCTGCCGTCAATGGTGCTTTAGTGTGCCACGCTACCTGTCAAGGAAAAGAGCTCCCCCGAGTCTCCAGTAATCTCTGATAGAAGGAACACACCTCGAATCTCCTGCCACTACAGGCCTCCCAAATCCATTCATCTCTCCTCGCTCCTTCCGACAATAAAGCAAAGCGAAAAAATCTCAAGTGTCCCCCCAACTCCCAATCCTAGAAATTCCTCTCGAATGCACATCCCATGTCATCCTACCACTATCGAGACTATAAAAATTGGCTATTGAGATTTTCTTGTCCACGGTACTCCTGAAAAGACGTGGAAAAGCACACCCAAGAGGACAATCCCTGAATCAAGCATCCACCCAAAATCCGGTCCTCAATTCAATTCAAACCTCACCATCACCTTTATAATAAAATTGAATGGACCAAAAGAAGACTACACTTAAGGGGGCGTTTTAAAGGACATAAATATTAAAGTTACACAAGAATCTAACAAGTTCAAATGGAATAAAGTTTCTGCCCTCCACCGATTTTCACGGCAAAAATGATTTTATCCGAACATTCAAGCACTTATCCAGCATGTAAAACCCTGTAGCTGATATTGTCAACAATAGACCACCAAATACTGGTAGATAATGAAATTAATTAGGCCTCAGTTACAATAATTCTCATAGAAATCCTTCCTCCTTCAAATTTTCCTAACAAAAATACTCAAGGTAGCGATTGTAAGAGCTTTTGGAAGGCTCAAACAGGCTTTATGCCCTAGAAGTCCTTCATTAGAATACTGTATAAATTGGTGCTTGGTGATGTTGTGTAAATGGACTCATAAATACTTCCATCTGTGCAAAATCAGCTAGAGTAGCTTCTCAATGCTTCTGGTGGATCCAGGCTGTCAATTAACTGGAAAATAGAAAAATACAATTTTAAACCCATGTTTTGTTACATGATGCCATAATTGTCCTCATTTATTAAAATTACAACCTTCTTTCTCCTTTCCTTATTCCTTATCGCCCTTTTCATGTTAACCTAATTAATTTCCACAAATAACAAACTTCTCTCTCTCTCATTCTCTGTGTGCTTGTTTTGTGCATGAATGCCCCTATCTATTTTTAGGTCATTGTTCCTTTATTTGCATTCTTTTTACGAATCAATTTTGCTCTATGTTCATAATTAATGCTACGACCAGATCAATCCATCTGTAGATTAGATAATGCAACTCCCATCAATATCTTTTATTTTCCTTTCTTTAATTTCTTATTTTCTTTTACTCAACCTGTTCTCTCTCTCCCTCTCTCTCTCTCACACACACACACACACAAATCGACTTTGTATTAGAAAGAGAGAGGAAATCCATCATCTCGGATTTGAATTATAGAAACAAGAAAGATAACAAGGCATAGTCATGCATATAACAAACCCAAAATAACCCGAAAATCAAAAACCATAGAAATCAGGTTGTTTTCTGGGGAAAAGCTGGTAAAAAAGCACGTCCATGTATACATTCACCAAATGTAATTTTTATTTTCGAAGGGCATTTCAGGAAGAATATTTAGGGAGCCCAACTTATGAAGGATGTCCAAATTTAAAAAAGATACCCCAAATACATGCACCTCCATAACAAAACCACAATAAAAAATAATAATACTTGATCCTTGAGAAGCAAGACAAATCTATATCTATACTACTATTGGAAGTGTGAAGATTTTTTATACCATTTTATGCATTTTTTTTTATTAATAACATTTGATACCCACTATTCCCATCAAGATGACCCTTGGAGATCTAGAAACTTCCACTGAGATGATACACAAATGCATTAGTTTCTTATATAAACCTTTCACTTTTCTTATGACTATGCGTGTACCAATATATATATATATATATATAAGACTACGTCACATACTTGAACAAATAGAGGTTTCAAAAACCAGAACCAGGAAGATTTTTTAGTTTTGGTTACTTGTGCTTCATATGAAGGCTAAGAATCATCTGCCTGTACGGACTCATGCAGTCCTACTATCAGAATTAGTTTGTTATACTCATTACTTATTCAATGATGTTATTCAATCTTATCCCAAAATTTTAAATCTATAATAAATCTACTAATTTCTAAAGCAATGGCCCTTTCCCTCCACTAAAATTACTCAAAATCACTGAAACAGAACAATTTTAATTTATTTTCACCTATCTTCAAGTTATAGGTACTTCCATTCATTGATTTTTTTATTTTTTTTATAATTTCATCTTCTTCCTCTCTCGATATAGATATATCTTTGTGAAATCTAAATGGATAAATAGACACAACAATATTTCTAATCACACACATTACATGTGCTTCTTTACTAGCACATAAACCCATAAACTAATACCAAGAAGTTTAAGAAATTTTTTTCACTCTACCCTACTTTCCCGTTTCCACTTAAGCTGAACAATCCTAAAAGTCCAGCACTCTTTGCCACAACTTAAACCAATTCTTGTAACATTGAAAGAGGAAGCAATAGAAGATTTTCAGCAAGAAGCCATTTTGGAAAAGATGATGTCTCTTGGTCACAAACGGATAAAGATAGAGTTCCTTTAAAGAGCGTTTCCAGAGGATAGAATCATGAAGATAACCATCTTAACTTTCTATATAGAACACAATTGAGGGGAAAAACTTACTACCACAACAACAGTCTTTCACAAACAGGATTCTATTGCAGACACAACCCTTGTACATGGGCCTTCGTCAATTTGGCTTCCTAATTTGTGACACTTCTCCACAAACTAGAGCTTCAAGGGTGATATCTTCTTTGTTAGCCTCTCAAGGTGAATTTATTTCTCTAAAAACATTATGTTGAAAGAACATCATCTAGATTTAACGTGCTACATATCTTCAAACACAGATCACAGTATCACACTAGGAGATAAACCTTGTCGATCAGGTCATGATCCATGACGTGGAGAGGGGATCACAAAAGGACGATAACTGGGTAATAATCCACCTTGAAAATGAAGAAAAACACATCAATGCATGCACAACTATTGATTATCTTTGAGTATTCTATTTTTGCCCTTTTGTGGCTTTGCATTATTATTGGTCAGGTTTTAATTACTTCCATAACAAAGGTATGGAATTAGGTAAATAAATACTCAATTGATTTCTACCAAGAACAACAGATTCGTAACATCTCAAACTAACAAGAACGAGAAAGCGAGTTTGTTTAAATAGGAAAGAAGCTTGTGGATAGAGAAGCTTTTTCACAATAAATAACAGTGTAATCCAACTTATAAAAAAATAATAATAATAACAGTGTAATCCAATTATAACTCTATTCCTTCGGCAAGTAAAAAAAACAAAATATCTCATTACTTGAGCCAGCTCGACCTATTTGGAGCGTTCTTGAGCTTGGCAGGAGCTCAGAGCCACAAACCAAGTCAGAAGAAACTCTGTCCATGCTCAATTCATTGGATTCACCATGCTCACAAGCTATGGAGGCTCGGCATGGCAGAAAGTGAGCATCGCTCCAGTAAAAGCATAAGTTTGACAACCCAATTGGCCAGACCTCATTGGGTTCACTTCAAATTATTTGTTCCTGAACTTTTTTTTTTACCGCCCCGGGGGGGGGGGGGGGGGGGGGGGGGACAAAAGAACGAAAAGCCGACCAATGTCAGAATCTATAAAGATTTACTTGGATTTCATGTAAATTTTATTTTTGTATATTATACTTTAAGGTATGCCAATTCCATAAGTCTAAAAAATACAACATGATAAACAATCATAAGAGCTTAATGAAATTAGAGGATTGTCATTATACTTGTTCACAAGCTGAGCTACTTGAGCTTCGAGTTGCAACTCATTTATAAAATGAATCCAGATATAAGTCACAAACTTGGGTTGCCTACACAAATTAGCTTCAATGGGTCCATTAATGAGACAACCCTGAGTTGCCCATGATCAACTCGATTCATTTACACTCCTACCAGCAATAAATAACACCTAAAATCATTCATAATGCCAAACCAGGAACTTACCAGGAACTTACCAAAAATAGCCAGAGTACAATAGGAACCCTCAGTTATTTCTCTCATCTACTAAAAACTGACGAGGAATCATGAAAAGTGACACAAATAAAATTTAAAAAAAATAAAATACATTCAAAAGATTGCTAATGTGCTTCAAATTAATGCCATCCTGCCCGTTATAGTGGATACAAGGCTAATCTACTCTTACCCTCTCCAACAATCAACTGACATGACCTTGTTAATTTACATAACCAAAAGGAAAATTCATCTAGCTCTAATTGTCTGTAAAAAATCAAAACATAAATAAATAAAAGAGAGAAAGATATAGGGAGGGGGTGTAAAGAAGCTACCAAAATTTACCCTGAGTGCCTTACATTTAAATTTAAAAATAAAAAATCTAGTGCAATGGGCCTTGAACATCTCAATTTATGGTAGAAGTAAAAAAACCAAAAAAAGGCTTCTAGTTTAGAAAACATCTCAATTTGAAAGGTTTCTAGTTTAGAAGGTCCTGAGAAGTCTGAACAAACCAAAAAAAAAAAAAGGCTGACAAATAGGAAGCATAACATCCAAAATGCACATTTCCTACCTTGGTGTCTATTTATCTCCTCCAACTAGAAACCTTTCAAATGAATGATTTATAAATTGAATTAATAGATACTCACTTCACAAAAAGGTATAAGAAACATATACCTCCAATTTTTCCTCTATTTAGATCTATAATACAACACACTACAACTAAGAAGCACAGACACTTCTACGTAGGTGTCGTGTCCGTGTCGAATATCGACACTTCATGGACACTCCTGGATACGTGTCCGAGACTTCTTGTCCATATTCATAATTCAAAAATAAATTTTATTATTTCATACACTTGGCCGACATGACACATCTCAGACACTTGGTTGACACATTTCGGACACTTTGTCAACACATTTCGGACGCTCAACCAACACATCCCACACTCCTCGTCTTTATATAAAACAAACAACATGACAGTCCTATGAACAACATTATGATCACACATCAAAATATTCAACCTCTTTTTCTTTAAAAAATTGCATTAAACACGTGTCACAGTTTGTAACTTTGGGATGAACAAAAACATAACTATAGTGACAAGATATGAGAGTAATATCATATATAATACATTCTTTTTAATATTCAAATAGCTTCATCTTCTAACTTATGCAATTTTAGTACTGAAACTATAAATTAATTAAAGTTCTATAATTATCTTACTCAGTAGCTATATAAATAATGTTTCAATACCTTGTTTTCTTTGAGAGAACTTGGAGAGATTTGAGTCATTTATGGCTGATTTAACAGAGCATACTCCTTCGGAAGTCGGCAGGTAGCCAATGGCGGCAGTAGCCGAGCTTGAGCTTTGTTTGGCTGAATTCAGACTCGGAGAGCCAAGCCCGATCAGCTCAAAGCTCGGCTTTGTCTAGCTGAAACCATCAACTCAAAGCTTGGCTCAGCGCTAATTAGCAACCCTTCCTAGATTTGACATAACAGTGTGTCTAACAGATGAAATAACTAATTCACACATCATTAGAAAAAATATATATAATGAAAATTTATATATATATATATATTTGTCATGTCCTACTTTTTTAGAATTTGAAGTGTCAGTTTATCCACGGCATATCATGTCCGTGCTTCTTAGAACTACATCGACACACCAAAATTATTCTGATCAGACCAAATAATCAATTGATATTTTTTTCATAAATAAAATTTGATATTGATCATTGAACATCTCCAATTTGATAAATAAACTTCCAAATTTGAAAACCGAGTTACTTTCTAGAACATCTGAATAATATAAATTAATAGACCAATTATATAAGAGGATATACAATGGTTTTAAGATTTGGAAAAGCTAACTATTTCTAAAGCATTTCATTAACAAAAACTATTGCATATGATGCTCTTGCTCAGTAAAATCTAAGCCTATCAACCTTTAGAGAATAAAAAATTCTTACACCAAATCGGCGGCTTGGATTTGGGATTGGAAGAAATTTAGTACAAACATTGAACTAAATTTCCTCCAAAATCCCAAATCCAAAGCATAGATTTGGTGCTCCCAAACACAACATTAATAAAAATTAGAGGGTGTATTGAAAGTGTAGTGTAGAAGGCGACATATTCAATGTGACTTAATTGGGAAAAGATGCACATGCAATTACGAAGGGCAATAATTATCTTAGATTGATGACCAATCAACACAGTCGCATATGTAGGAAGCAAACAACTCAAAGGATATTCTTAGTTCAACAAATTCCAGCAAGTAATATTAGAAACAAACAAAAAGCAAACAAGTTAACTCCATAAAATCAGGCTCTACAATCTCAATATAATTTAGTTTGACAAAATCAATAGAAATCCACAATATAAACAGTCCAACAAAACAAATCATATTTTGATATAATGATTATTAAAGAAAGTTATGGAGTCTGGACTCTGGACATATATTACAGGTAGTTTACCTGAAGCATCCGCCATGGAGAGCCTCGCCACGGCCCATTATCGGGCACCATGGCCGTGGAAATTGTCCCCTGAAACCAAGTCATTCTGGACGAATCCACCGTCTCCATTGCCATCTTAACCCTCATCCCAGCCGTCCAAAACACGTTCAACGACTCCTCCACAATCTCTGCCTTCACCACAAAGTCAGCCCATCCCACCCTCGGATAATACACAATCTCAAACTCCCTCCCCTGCGCTGCCAACTCCGCAGCCTCTGCCACAGCCTCCGCTGAATCCTTCCCCCCTCCGCCCCTGGTGAACACATCTTCCCCACCATAACCACTGTTCCCGCCATTTTCCTCTACCCTCAATCTCACAGACCCCACCGGAAAGTTCCACCTCCCCCCAGAATCCGCATTCGGCTTCACTGCCCTCCTAATTCCGACAAAATGCTCGCCGCTTCGCCGGTTTCTCATAAACACCACCGAGTCGCCGGCAACCAACTTCTTGTTATTCACGAACTTGCTCCAACCAGTAGTAAGCAAATGCCGCCGAGGCGTCCCACGGTATATGTGTCGGAACTCCCACACCGTGCCCTGAACATCCCTAATCGATATAGTCTGCACCGGTGGCTCCGCCGAGAAGTTCAGCGGCGGAAATATGGAATCCGCGCAAAACCTCGGCACCGAAAACCCTCCGCCGTTGTTCGCATCCGACGGTGTCAGTATCTTCGCAAACGACACCACCTTCTCTTCATCGTCTTCTTCGTCCTCACCGACACAGTCTCGTCTCGTGTTAGATCGGAACAGGTGGAGATCACGTGATCGGTCGACGGGGAGGAGGCGGATCTTAGCGAGAACCTCGTCGGTGTCTGGATTTGCGAGGTGCCGGACGGCGATGACGCGGCAGAGGATCATCGGCTGGGACGAAACAAGAGGAGAGAAGAGCGGAGGAGACGATGATTGCTCGGAGTGGCCTTGGGGGAAGTAGTAAACCCTAGAATCGACGGTTGGGATCTGAACAGATGTTCCGGCACAGGCTTTCCAGATGGAAGGGTCCATTTGCCGTAGCTCAGTACCAGTCGCCATTGCTAGGGTTTCGTTTGGAAGGTGATGGTAGAGAGATAAGAGAGAGAGATGAGAAGTAAAATGTGAAGTGAAGCGTTAGTATTTAGGGTTTTTTAACACGTCCCTATGTTTTCTCTCTCTAAACGAAAGGTGTCTGATTATGCTCGGAGTGTTGCAGCTAGAGAGGGAGTGTAGAGAGAGAAAGAGAGAGAGTAGAGAGAGAGAGAGTGTGTGTGTGTGTGCCGTCTTGGGTCGGAGAACAGGCACAGAACAGAAGCGGGGAAGTGGAGTAGACAAAATGCCCCTTGTATTGTCGTAAATTACACTTCTAGACGCGACAACATAACTCTCTACACAGAAAAATGAGAGTAAGAAATTTCACGCTATTAAGGCGTGTGCAGTAGCACTAGCTGCCACGAGTTTGTTGCTCGTTGCGAAATTACCAAATGGTCCCTGTTTGTTACGTTTCAAACATGAGTCCAATTTGAATTGTCTTTTTAAAACTAGAGCTTATAGTCTTTGAGTTACTTGAATTCAAATAAACTGTAATTGATAATACAGTTGATGGCATTATTAATATTTATAAAATATTAGCAATAATAACTCCATTATAAAACAATGCAATTTGAGGTTGAGTTAAAAATTTTAATCTAAATTCAATTTGAGTAACAAAAATGAGAGTTTAGATTTACCCAATATCCCAGCTGATTTTTTTTTTTCCTGAGAGCTAGAGTCAACACTAATGGCACATACGGAACCAATTCAACCCTAACCAACTCATTATACGGTTTAAGTTTTAAAATACAATAGAACAATTAAGGAAAAAAAAAAAAACAGAAATCAGTTAGCACCAAACTGTATTACCATTACTATATAGGTTGTGTTTTGTTGAATCGGGATGGCCAATTTTATTTCTTTTCCAATATGTATTTATTTTAATTTATTTAATTATAACAGAATAAATAATTCCTTAAGAGAAAAATGTGTGACAGTTTAAATATTAACGAGAAAAAATAAATATTTGCAAACATGTTTCCAAGTATTTTTTTTTGTCCTAATCTCAACCTCATTATATATTTATATATATATATATATATATAACTTTAATCCTCATTCACCTACTAAATTTATACTTATATTTGATTTCAATTTTAGGTAATATTTCCCCAAAATTCAAATCTAATTGTGCCACGTCCGGAAGCACGTGTATTACACGGTCATCTAGTGCGACTACTGCATTCTGTATTGGAAACAGAGCAAAAGCCAAAAGCCCCATGGTTATTGTTACACTAGATGTTGCCATGTATGATGTATGCATGTCTGGGGAGTTCCTCAAATGACCAAATTGCCCTCGTCTGGATTATTATTAATTTATTTATTTATTCCACTCCTCACGCAATTTACACGGGCAGTAAAACAGGCAAAGTGTGTGGGTCCCACTGGGACAAAAAGTGCGAAGAGATCAAGAGGTCATGAATGCACTGACAGAGTGACGAGTCAACGGATCAGGTGGTTGAGATTTGCCGGATGTCGGGGTAAACACTTGCCAGAAAAATGTACTACTACTGCTGCATTAACTTCTTTTTAGAGAGAGAGGATGTATATATGTATGTATAGAGAGAGAAAAAGAGAGAAAAGCGGAGTAGTGTATCCGGGTGCCGTTACAGGGAATTTCGAGAAAAGAGGATGTTATAAGAAAAAGACGCATCTCACACGAGATAGCACGGACCGGATTCACTGCGAAGTTGTCGCTGTGGAGGAAGACGCTTACGTGTATCTTCACACTGCCAGTGCGCGGAAACTTTGTACTATCTAAATGGAGATGTTTATTACGGAGTAAATTGTTGGGAAATGATAATTGCACCTTACGTTTTTTTCATGAATTTCTTACTTTGTTTTCCGCAAACTAAATAAAGTAAATGTTTTTTATATACATACACACATAATTTGGGCTTGGCAATTAACTCCCACGTCACAACACTTTGGGTGACTCGAATCCTCTAGTGTATTTTAAAAAAAAAAAAAACAAACTATGGAAGCATTTGCCACCTCTATTTTTGTATTTTATTTATGTACTTTTTAAAAAAAAAAAAAAAATACATGTACAAGAGTTGGTAAATAGGTGATAAGACATAAAAATATTTATGTCTGCTTGCCTGTAAAAAAAATATCAATTCCAACTCTTTTTCATTTTCAAACAATTCTTTTAGGGTCGGTTTGGTTAAACGAAAAATTTTAATAAAAAGTGAAAATGAAATAAAGTGAAGTGAAAGAAAGAAAAATCAAATTTTCATTATGCATTAGATGCATCAGTTTTTCTTTCCATTTTTTAATTTAATAAACTTGAACTTAAACAAATTTTCTTATTGTTAGAGACCGAGGCAAATTGGGCAAGGAAATTTTTTGAAGAAAGTTGTGAGAAAATCTTATTTTGATAATTTGAATAGCATGAAAAGGAAAAGAAAATTATTCCACTTACCGAAAATACCCTTATAATTTTAAATAGTATAAAAATAAATAAATTTGTGTTAGAGGAATAGTATTTATACTTAAATATATATTTTAGCAAGAAATAGTGAAATATGGAATAGAATAACATGTGATATCATAATACAATTTTTTGCATTCTCCTTTATATAATTGTGTGTGTGTGTGTGTATATATATATACATTTTTACTTGAATTCTCGATCTTTTATTTTTGAAGGTGAGAAAATAAGCTTGTATTCGTTTTCTATATATATCTAATTTATGTTAATATAATATCTAATATATATTCTAGATAGGAATTGTTTTTTTTAAGTTTCTAGGTAGTATAATATCTCTTACAGTATATAATACTAAAACCTTTCCTTGAACAAAAAATAAAAATATTACAAAATAATGATGATACATACAACTAGTAATAGCTTTTAGTTAATACCAAGTCAAAGGCAAATCATTAACCATAATTTTTGACAATGTCTTTAATTAGTAGGCTAAGTAGAAGAAAAAAAAAAATTACATGACCAAGTCAAAGGTTCCCAAGTGTTTCAAAGGTATTCATTCAAAGTGCTAATCCCCTCTTCCTTCTAGGTCCTCATTAAGGCCGACCCAGCAGAGCTCAAGTTCACGGAACTAAGCCTGAATCTCAAACTCGCTCTACGATTCAAGCTACTATCACGGGTTAGGGTTCATTTACAATTCTCACTCTGTGATTCTTGGTGGCGTAGAGAATGGAGGCTTCTCAAGCCTTCGACTTCAAATATGAACATAAGACGTCGTTGGGAGTATTTGTAAAGCTAAAGTTTTGGCTTTGGTTCAAACACAGAGAGAGGACGTAGATGAATGGGTGGAGTTATGAAAGAAATCGAAGTGAGAGAGAGATAGATTGACAATAGGTGAGTTTCGAGGCCGTTCCCATGCTCCTTCTCCTCTGGCCGACAGCCGACAATTCCAACACCAACCCTAGTTTTCATCCGACACTTGCTATCAACAGTTATGTATATATTATGAAAAAAAAAAATATCTTACTAATTCATACCTTCAAAAAATATATATAAAGAAAAATAATTCTATAATTAAATAAAAATAAATAAATGAAATTTGGATGTAAACATAAAAATAGAAACAATTAATACATGATTGTATAAACAAACAATTTACAGAAGAAAAAACTCACCTATTTACCTTTTGTAATTTTAGTGAAGAAAAACGCTGAACGAAGAGAAAAAACTATTCTGGGTATAATAGGAAAGTAATATATTAAAGTGCACAGCTTTTGCGGGAAAGTGAATTTTCGTGTGTTTTATGCGCGAGAATTTTTGGGGAAAATTTTTGGATGTGGGAATCCTACTTTCCCCAAAACTTTCACTTTCCCTCTAACCAAACATGCAAAAAAAATTAATTTTTTTCCTTTTCTTTTCCTTTCTAGTTATGTCACGCTAACCAAATGAATCTGGAAAATTTTCTTCCTTACAAGTGACATATAATATGTTTGGACCAAGTTAATATGAATTAACCAACTCAAAGTCAGAAGAAGGAATTTGTGTCATGTTTGACACAAGTATTATTTTACAAGATCTAATTCTTCAAAAATTGAGGTTGGATTGTTCCATAATTCCATTATTGAGATCATTATTTTAATTACATATCAATTTAAAATATTTTATTTTTGTGGTAATTGTACCCATATATGATGTCATAGTTTAGGATTGGTATGGAAATCTGATTTGGCTGGATAATGCAGAGCTTAGCTCAAATATGAATAATGAATTGATGAAGTTGATCCTTCAACATCCTACAAAAGTTGGTATTTTGTGTATTTTTGCATTAATAAAAAAAAAAATGAGCATGGCAGTGTGCATATAGATTTCAAGTACATAAATAAATAAAAAATAATGTTTAGTAAATTTTTATTTCACTAATTTCATAAAATGGGTAAAACATTGATAGGGCTGGTCTATAAAATATATGGTGTTTGTGGTGGGAAAAATTCCCACCAATAGAAACATGACAAATGCAATACAAGAAACCCCAATCACGAGAAATTATTACATGGTCTCAGGATTATTGGGCCCGGCCAATCACAAAACAACACAGGTCAAGACCAATAGTCAAAGAACCATGTAATAATATCTCCCCAACTATACTCCAACAGAAATCATAGTGGAACCCACCTTCAAATCACGCTAACCCAAGGAAACAGGCCTATCATCTAAGAATTGAGCAGGCCCAACTCCACTCAATTCATTGAACCCATTTATAATGTCGAACATAAAGGCCGTGGCCCAAACAAGAATAAAAGTCCAAGAAGTAACAACTTATGCTCCATGAAAAGGGATCCATTAGGGTCGTGTTGAACTCCGTATTATGACTTAAAAGTTAAAACGCATAAAATTATAAACAACTGAACATACATCAACTATAAAGAGACTGTGTTATGTTTGCACAAGCAATATTCTACAAAATTTAGTTCTTCAAAAATTGAGGTTGGATTGTCCCATAATTCCACTATTGCATGTGATCATTATTTTAATTACATATCAATTTAAAATACTTTATTTTTGTGGTAATTGTATATATGATGTCACAGTTTAGGATTGGTATTGAAGTCTGGTTTGGCTGGAAAATGTTGAGTTGAGCTTAAAGATGGATAATGAATTGATGAAGTTGATCCTTCAACATCGTACAAAAGTTGTGTTATCATCTCTGTATTTTGTATATTTTTACATCAATGTAAAAAATGAGCATGGGAGTGTGCACATAGATTTCAAGTACATGAATAAATACAAAAAATATATATATAT